CAACCATGGCGATGGCTCCTGCTGCTCCTCCTCCTCCTCATCATCATCCTCATCATCCTCATGATCCTCATCCTCCTCATCCTCATCATCATCATCACCATCACCATCACCAGCACCATCACCATCATCATCATCATCATCATCATCACCATCATCATCATCATCATCACCGCTACGCCGGCATCACGCTACTGTGCGTCATTTTCGTTTTGTTTTCCCGCATACACTCGTGAGTTCACGTCACAGCACTTAGCCATGAGAGTCACGCAGAGTTGCTGATTCAACTCTGCCATGGTGAGCTGAGTGAGGTGCAGAGCGGTTCGTCACCAACATCACAGGGGAGATGAACATCCCCCGCGCGAGGACGCCGCATGAAGCAAAGATGCTGACCAAGCAAGCCGAGCAAGAAGCTGCGCAACAGGAAGGGATCTTGCTGTTGAGCTGTGGTGTACTTTGCTGTCGTCGGTGACTTCTTCTGCAACCTGTAAAATGCCAGGCGGAAGCGAAGGAAGAAATCGCTAAAGAGCAAGAAGAGATCTCGAAAGAAATGGAGAAGCATGGCGACGAAATCGCTGCAGAGACTCCAGCCTAGAGCTGGCTCAGCTCCGTGTTTCACCTCAGACATTGGCTTACGGTGAAAAAGTTCCGGGATGCACCGCGTGTCCCGTGTTTGTAAGCTTGACGAGCCAACTTCTTCCACAAGCTCCAGCATGGGGCTGAGGGCTTAAAGGATTTTAGGGTTTAGTGAGAGTCTTGGAGGGTTTCAGAGCTCATAATTTTTGAGTCAAGGATAAGCGGGGCAATCCCCGCTATCAACTTGAGCTCGTGATCGCAGCGATGGCTTGAAGCATGGCTGCCGGGGCCCGTGAGGCGTGCAAAGCGATACCGTTTCGGCCTCAGAGCAGGATTAAAGGTAATCGGGGCGACAGTATTTCGGAGTCGCATTCCTACTTATTCCCCGGCCGGGGTTCCTTGTTATGGTTGTAGTATAACCTTCACCAAAACAAACTTCCAAAAACTTAGGACCCTGTATTATTCGGCTTCTGTGGTTTACAGGGTTTAGGGAGTGACTCTGACTTTCGCAGACCTCAAGTCTTTTTGCAGTGCTTGCTGAGGCTGCTCTTGGAACAAGTCCATTTGTCAGACCAGGAGGCAGATCACGGTGTAGACGATTTGCAGATTCTTGCAAATTTGTGGATTGAGCGGCCCGGTTGACCCAGCAATGTGTGCAGAAGGTGGCACATGTGCCAATGCACATGGGGAAGAAGCCACGTCTCTTGAAATTGCCAGGAGCTCCTGCGTTGCTGGCCCAGGTCCATGTCGTGGGAAGCGTGCAAAGGTGTGCGCTGCGCGTGCGTGGGTTCGTGTCTCTCACTCTTCCCATATGTGCATACCGACAGATAGGTAGGTAGTTGCATGAAGTGATGGAGAGAGAAAGATACACAGAGAAGTATGTGTGTGCACGCGAACGGGGAAATAAACCCACACCCACACACACACACACAGACACGCAGAGACACGCAGAGAC